ACTTTGTTTGCTCTTCAAACTGGTGCTCATGTCCTAAAAACCTCTTTAACACGTTGACGACATCGCGCGTTTTGGCTTTTTGCACCGCGTGGGACCAGAGCGATTTTGCGAGCGCCGCCGCCGCACACCAAATCCATGGATTTTGAGCTGTAAATACGCAATACTTAGATGCGATGAAATGTTTTCAATGATGTTCGATCTGTCTAGCTTATCGGGAGTTACAGTAATGGAAGTTTGACCGAAATGACGTGTTAAGGCCATGAAAAGGGAAATTTTACTTAATTTCCCTTTAGTGGTTCCAAAATTAATTTGGACGTGGTTGTTTCAGTAAAAACACATATCTTCCCATACGAATAGGTTTGTATTCTTCTGTTATTCCTTTTTATCAACATGTCTACATTATTAACACATTGACGCCCGCGCCGATTTCGGCGCATGTCACACATGTGTCATTGGCCGTATTGCGTGCGTGCATACTCGGCGATGCACAAATCTCATATGTGGGACATTTTGTGGGTTTTCGTTGCGGGACCCACATGGCCGATCCATTGAAAGGGCGCGGTAGCTTTCGTTTTTCGATACGAATCATGCGTCTTTCCTCATTTTGCTTGTTGTTACGTGTTTATGAGTTCAATTAGTGTTAAGCTTTGTTTTGTACGTATTTTTGGAGCCTTTTTGAATACCGTCACTATAGTAGCGCAATTTTGGACAATGCAGGCAGACTGTTGTGAAATTCCACGCAATTTTATAATCTTTTCTTTGTCTGGCAACGAAAATCACTTACTTCACTAAGGGCGCTACAAGGTAACACTAGTTCTTTAGTTCGTTTTGCCTAAGCATTTTCTAACGCTATGTTTCCTGTCGATCAGCATGTTTTCTATGGGCGTTTTTTGAGGGTGGCCATTACCTCAATGCTGTTCCAAATCGCATAGGCAAACTCGTGGAACATCCTGCGAGTTTGGCTGCTATATTGCTAGAAAAAAGCTAAGCAAGTCCTCTCAAAATGACCCGTCCTTTCAAAGCATCATAAGTTTGTTGGAATTGAAGTTCTCGACATGCCACATGTTTTACGGATTCACGAGACTAACAGAAGTCAAATAGTCAAAGAAGTACTGAAAAGGTTCATGGGAGCAAAATACAGATGTGCATACCCGGCGATGCACAAATGTCAGATGTGGGAGTTTCGACGTGCATACCCGGCGATGCACGCGGGCTGCAATGTGTTAAGAAGAAAACGAGGAATGAACTGAACAGACATATCCGTAAGGTCTGGAAAACGTCTGCCAAACTAAAGAATATTTGGCCTTTCTGTGAGCCATGTGGTTTTTAAGTATGCTAATGTATGACCTATAGAATGAGTACAAAGACCTTAGGAATAAGTCGCGCAAGAAAAAGGGATGACTTGGGTGGGACGCGTTACCGCGTCACAATGTCCCACGAGGTGCGCAAAGTGGGACGCGTTACCGCGTCACGCTGTCGTCAACGTGTTAATTGAGGTAGTACAATTTTAGACAGGGTTGAACAGGGAAAAAGAGGTCAGTGTGGGAAGGATTATATGAGATTAGTAGAAGTAAAAGCAATACCACACGGATAGAAAAGTAAGTGTTTCTCCAGGCACAATCACGTCAAAAATACTTTTGACGTCGATCACAGAGAGAAAAATTACCACCGATTATGTTCTACGCATTCGATGTGTTTTGTGTCATTCGTGTTTTGCATAGTTATCACTGGAAAATTCACGGATATGAGGTGAGGCGGCCGCGCTCGCAAAATCGCTCCTGTCCCACGCGGCCAAAAAAGCCGAAAACGCGCGCTGTCGTCAATGTATAAAAGTGTTCGATTCTGCATTCTTTAGCTATTATATTTTTAGTCGAAGATCTGTGCGTTACACTGAACCCTTGTCCCAGTGTCAATGGAAGCAGATACAAGTGTACATCTGGCACTGGTTCATATAAGTGTGAATGCGCCGTTGGATATACAGGAGAGAAGTGCGACAAAGGTGAAGTTTTCTGAAATCATGTTGAAAAGCTTCAAGGTACTAAGCTTTGTATTTTCAGTGATGAATAAATGAAACAGCCCATTCACGTATACTGGGTTTGCAGCGCTGAAGCACTGCAAGCGTACAAATGCGAGTGGAGACAATAAAAGCAAGAAACGGGCCTGTCAATGACAGGATTTGGGTAGTAGGAGGGGGCAGTGATGCAGAAACTGTGGGAGAAGCTCAAACTTCTCTGAATAACACCGCGTGTGGAAACGCAAGACGACGGGGGATATCAGAAACAATAGGCCGTAAAGAGGCTGCCAAGGGTGCCGCCTCCACCAGCGTCAAGAGCGTTTGAGACATTCATAGCAACCGCTGATAGTCACCGTCTGCCGCAACGATGGCACATAGTATATCCTCCACTATCGCTTAGGCTTTCAAGAATTTACCAAATTTACCAATGAATGTGAGTTTCACGATAAACAGCAGCGCCATGTGTAACGAATGATTTCATGCGTTGAGCCTCTTCTATATCCACCCATGCGAATATATGGTTCATCCCATTCGTGATGAGTCCATTTAGACTTCCATTCGAATATATGGCTCATTCCATTCGTGATGAGTCCATTTAGACTTCCATTCGAAATGCGACGATTTCAATGCTTATTTCGTCTGTACCCAAGAAACAAAACCTGGTTACTCGTGTCGAGATCTGTGCTGGAACGTGATTTCTCGAATACGCCCATGCAGCACCTCTTGGCAGCAGCGTTGTGAGCCACGGTTGAGAATCCTCGAGAAGGATCTTATTGCGTATCCGAGAGAGAAAAAGCCGCATTCAAATTTAGAAATTCTCTCGGAAGCAATTAGATACAGTGAGGATAACAAATTATGGTTGGAATTGCATAAAATCCGCTGTTTCAGTAATTTTACCCCTCATTTTCTCCCATCCCTCCGATTGCCTTCGCCGCCCTTCGAATTTCTCATCCAACCTGTCTGACGTTGTTTCATGATTTGGAAGCATTCGGAGGCAGAGTCGGAAGTGTGTCGCCTAGCGCGAGGGCATGGACGTTGACACCATCGACCATTAAGAGGTAAAGAGCTCGGGGAAAGCGGTTGAACGAGCAAAGCAGTAGTGTGACAGTACTGACTAACAGATCCTCTCTCAATACGTGCCCAAACTTGTTTGCCCCGCAACCCTCCCCTTCAACCTTCAGCGCCTGCATGAAAGCTGTCCTCTCAATCAAGGTGCTTAAAGGAATCTTGCGCGAAAAAATCATGATTCTATTTCAGCCATAAATCACTGGCTTGACTCATTATCCACGATAATAGAAAAACTTGAAGTATTGCTTTCGTTTTGATTAGAAATTCGAAAACTCGAAAAGGCTGCTACGCGTTCGAATTGCCCACGGACGTCTTTCACGAATGCTGGCGACGGGGATGCTCAAACTTGGTTCTTGGAGTGCATTCACTAGAAGCTCTTTCTGGCCTTCTGCTTCGTTGCATTCACATCTTACACTTCTACTCCATCCTATTCCATCGATCGATTTGTCTCCACTCTCCGAAATCGCGCGCTTTAACCCGATTCTCTCATTGCGTCGCCTGGTACGTAGCCGGCCAAACGCCGTCTTCTTTCCATGCCTCGCCTGGCTCTGCCTCCTGGTCCTTCGATGGTCCATAACGTGTAGTTTTTGTACGTTTGTTTCTCTTCAGAAACCGAATCTTCATGCGTGAAACTTTGTGTGCTATTTCCAGTGATCACAACTGACATATTCATGTTAGGAAAGAGTGCAAGAATTTTCCGCGCAAGATTCCTTTAAGTAACGTCGCCGCGCCATGCGAAGTGAGCCATTTGAGAATTAGTTTCTGTGGACTGCCAGTCTATCAGATCGTAAAGTCTATACATATATAGAGTTTTTCTAGTAATAGGCCAGAACATGAAATTACTGTAACATTTTCAGATGCGAAATCTATTTGTAAATGGGATACATGTCTGAATGGAGGAACATGTACCACAACTAACAATATCGTTTATAAATGCCTGTGTACGCCAGAATACATAGGTTCAAGGTGTCAAAGTGAGTTTCAAGAGCATCAAATACACTTTCTTGTAGAAAGATGCGATTTTAGTGCATTGGAATTCGAAATCTCTAGAGCAATATGTGCAAGTTCTAGAAAGGCGTACAGCCAGAGTAAAATTGGACAAGAATACCGAGATAATCGGTATGGTATTATGTGCTATCTTTACGCAAAATTTTTGACAGAAGAATGTGAGAGACTAGGTGGACGGCAAAATAGTAAGTGACAAAGAAGGAGCTAAATAGGTAGAGATAGGCATAACTATCGAACGTGATGATGTCAACTGTAGTTTTACTAAAAATGCATAGAATAGTAGGTTCATTTTAATACATTGCGTTAAAAAAATAGCCGCTCACCACCCTTTTTACTTGGCGAAATCAAAATAGGACATTCTCACAATGGGCTTTTGTCGCGTGACGTTGTTACGAGCGGCGAGCGACGAAGTTGCGTTACTTCCTCTGAAGGTGTGAACTTTTGTTCCAGTGTGATATAGGGCGTAGGGTTCTATGGAGGACTGTGGTTAGTCGTGGTCAACCATATCGAGTACTGGCAAACCAGGATGATGTAGTACCCGTAAGACTGAAGGCTCAAGCTAATGTAGTGTAATCCTATTCGCGCAGAATTTGTTGGATCAAAAACCTTGTCTAGCGGATTCGAATGTGAAAGTTACGAATATTTTGGTTGTGGTCAAGATATATTAGTATTACGAATTACAGATAAGAATCCATGCCTCTCGAAAACATGTCCTGAATAATGGCACTTGTGAGCCGATATTCGATGGGCGTTTTTCGACTGCATTGGCAGACCATATTATTCAGCAGAGATTGTGCATGGCGAAACTGGTTTTGGCAGTACGTTTACGAGAGATTTTGCTTATTTCAGCACCGCCGCCATTGGTTGAGCAATGCCTTCTGTGAGTGACGTATGCACAAGTATTGGGAACACTGTTCTGTATCCTTCTTACTCCTCCTCTTGCTTCAAACCGAAATCCGAATTGACTACTTAGAATTTGAAGTCTGAATGGTGGTGTGGTCAGCTCAACGTAACCCTTATGAGAAGAGCTCTTTCCATTTGAAATCATTTAGCATATTGAAGGCGTTTCTTAAAGGTAGCACCGGCGAGGTTACAATTCTGCGTTCCCTGGCTTTCGTGCATTCCAAACCTTTTGAACAAGCAATCATCAGTACCCTCATCAATCATTCAATCAATCAACCCCAATCATTAGTAAGCTTCACAATATCTATATCTAGCATGGTTCAAATAAATGTTCAATAAGACAAAGCTCACATAGAACTTTAGAGTGTGGCATTTAGTTCACTGAAATACTGTAAATAGCGAACTTTTGGGTCGTTCAGTTATAAAATAGAGCAAATAAATCAGCTAACAACCTTCAACATCTCATTGTACTATTCGAAGCGGTCTCAGCCCAGTTCTGGCGCCCTTCTCATTGGCCGGTACTCTTCTTTTGTACGGGGAGTACGGTAAGGAACTGGATGCTGAGAAAGGCGCTCTGTAATCCCTGGGCGGCCCGGGCCGCGGCCCTCGAGCCGGTACCGTCCGGACGAGCAGCGTGGCAATCTTCAAGGGGATGATTAGCAGTCCTGCTTTTCTGTTCCATTACTTAACAATGCGGGGTTCTACCATTTGCGGAATAGAAAGCCCATTGGCTTCCACATCCGGAGGGCATAGAAGTTTAAATTAGGGTCAACCGTCAAGTTGGACAAATTTCAAAAATTTACGACCCCGCCCCTTCTGGAGGGTCTCGATACGACCCCCAGGGGCAACCCTACTATTGGTACTTTTTGGAAATTTTTCCCGACCCCCCTCCACCACCATGAGACTCAGGAGGTCCATAACGACCATCACCCTCACCATCAGAGCCGTTACTATAGTGTTTGATTCCGACAAGGGAGGTCGTTCAGGGTGTGGAGCACTTTTTGAAAACGTTTTTTTGCATGCTGCAGGGGCTCACACGGGAAACTACAGCGCTGTGTTCCATTTCGCTGAACGGCCCCTTGAAGAGTAAGTACTGTACCCGAATTTTAACCGCAATCCGGTAGAAAAAATGTTGTAGCGCCAGATGGGCGCTCAAATGGCGCCGAAGTGGCGTAAATTTGAGCAATCGGAAAAAATGGATGCCAAATCCGTGATCAGGGCACTCGATAACCCTTATAATGGAAGTTTTGGAGAAAACTGAGATTTTGACCCAGACCAGAGAGTTTGGCCATTGATGGTCGGTAGCTCATCGTTTCCAGCCGGTGAAAGAGGAAAAGTTCTACTACCGATTTAACAATGGCGGACGTAATGTACAGTAGGACAAGCATGATGTTGAAGCCGGAAGATTCTTCTCTCCATCGGTGGTGCAGAAATTCTCTATGAAGCCGAACTCTAGATTCCGTTAATCACCGCGGCATTCCGCTTTATTTTCGCCCAGCGCTCGTTTTCAAGTCGCCCGCCGTTGTATGACGAGCTGTAGCCCATGGTCACCCCATTTTTCGAAGTTAAGTCAAAATCTCGACTTTCGCCGAAATTTTGCCTATATGGGTAAATCAGGGTCCCTGATCACGAGTATAGCGTTTATTTTTGGCTTCGGCGCCATTTGATGCCAGTTTGGCGCAGCAAGTTGATTCCGCCAGTGCTTTCAAGAAAACCCATTCGAAAGGGCTGCTGATGGTCCCTGAGGTGGATAATCAAAAATGCAAAGGCCTCGTTATGGTGCCGAGTCGAACCACAAAGTCCCTTCCTTCAAAGCCACCACGCTATCCACTTGACCACCAGACCACTGCGATCAGCAGGATGCCGACGACGCTTATGAAACCTCCGCACCTTTTTCAGCACTACCACTGACAGAACTTCAATTTTGAGCGAATTTCACCTTGTTTTCGATACCATCTTCATCAGTGCCCTTCAATATGCAGGTGGTCTTTTCTACAAGTCCGAAACGTCACTCCAAGGCTGCAAAAACCACCAATTCTTAACAAAATTTTTTCGACCCTTTTTGGCCTTCAGGGGGCCGCTCAGCGAAAACGAAACAGCAGCAGTAAAACACGGCAATTTTTTTCTTAGCACTCACAAAGCACAAAGCGTCACACTACAACCCCCGTTGGTGTAGGATTGACGCTGCCTCCGACCTTGCGAATACGACCCCATTTTTTAGATTTAAACCACGGTTGACCCTGGTTTGAATACATTTGCGGAACGTAAAAAGATGGTTGGATAAGTTGAGCTAAACGATATTCATACATGTCGACTAGCATGTTTCACCTTCTGCATCGCACAATCCTCTATGGATTATGTACTCGTGCAATTCTTTATTATCAACCACTAATAGCACCAGCTAATGGCTTATTGATCTGGTGTCAACGCACCAATGGACCCCCAGGCACATAATGTAATAAGTTCTTAATCAACTAAAGTTCCTAATGAACTTATTAAACTTGTGTGCTCAACTGTGGTAGTTCATTGGTGAATGATCTAATACGAAAAACCTTGACGTGTTAATAAAGTACCCTTCTTTCAGCTGATAGTCCTGTGCTGGATGGATGTTTCGCAAGGGATCCCATACTCGAAGATTCGAATTACTATAAGAAATTCACTCAGCCAACACCTATGAGTGTCACAAACTGCATGAACGTTCTCCAATCGCAGATTCCCACCTATACCATGTTTAGTAAGTTGTTTTTCCCCCTTTCATAGACTTTAGAAACAACGACCCGCTTAAAATAAGGCATTTTGCTCACATTTCTGTAAAGGGAAAAGTCAAAGTTACGTCTATGATCCAGGAATAGTCACGGAACACTCCTGAAAGGAAGGCGATAATGCAATGCGATCGTGCGT